TGGGTTGAGGTAACAACAATTTAATAATGCAATTTAATAATAATAATAATGATTAAAAATAGTAATATATGAATATATATGAGATTATAATAATACATAGAAACAAGTGATCCACAATATAATTGCTCACCATCTGGTGACCGACACCTGTCCCATCCTGGCAAGTGATTCGGAAACAGATAAGTACCAACACTGCAATCCTGGATGAGTGAGAGGCCCAAAAAGAGAGCGGGAGAGAATTAGAACTCTGAGAGTCCCTCCAGAAGAGAGAGAGAAATCCAAACTTCTCTATATACTGGGCATAATGCTGCATGATATGGAATACTCCATTGGCCAATTTAGCCCTCAATCCTAAATCTAAATTCAAATCGTAAGAGGAGTTGTGGACCCTTTGTCCCAGCCATGCTCCCCCCCAGCCTGTTGCGCTCCTGCACACTGGCAAGAACAAGGGAAGCTGAAAAGTCCTTGAGGTCTCAGTGCCAACTATAAACATCAGTGCGGTGTCAACATTCTTCTCATAGCAAATCCCAGACTAATCCAAAACACTATTCTAGCTACTAAAAAGAAAAATTAACTCTGTCCCAGCTGAAACCAGGACACTGATCCTTTAGGAACATGAAGATTCATCCTCACATACTTTCCACAGTGTAACCTCATAACTTTTCAATTATGTGGTTAGCTGCCCATTCTTACTCAAGGAACAAGCAGTTTCCATTTTCTTAGACAATTCTACTCTTTCACTAGGAAGGGACAGGACTGGGGCAGGCAGGCTCTGCCATGCATGGCAGAGAGAGGCAAGACAGAAATCTCACCTGCATATGCAGAGCCACATGGATCCTCCTTGCTGAGGGCCACAGCTCTCTGCAGTGGACTTACGCTGGCGTGTCCCCAGGTCACACCTTTCTCTGCAGGCAGGTCCCTGAGGGGAGACTTTCTGCCTTAGCACCTAGGGAACACATGCTCTTCAACAAGTTGTCTCTGTGCTACTTACTTCTGATTTTGTAAGGGTAGCCTGGTATTCATCTGATTTAAAAATTCCGAAGACAAGCTGAATCCTTACAAAAAGAAAAATATCTTTTTTTTTTCCTACTGCACCATCTTATTTGCATCCTCAGAATTTCACTAGTGAAGGGTTCTCTTGCAAATATATATCGACACGTGTTTCATATGGTGATACATCCAGTAGCAACCAGTTGGTGTCACATTATCTGAAAGCACAGTGTATGTTCAGTGCTGGAGTTAAAAGCGAATACAGACTGTTTAAAAATATATGTTGTTTAAAGATGACAAACACAGAATGTTCTGCAGTATCTATCTGATAATATTTGAAGCTCATACAAAGAGATTTCAATAAAAAAGAGATCGTTTGAATAATAACAAGGGTATTATATTTCACTTGGGAAAAGTAATTAAAATTACAACCTTTGCCCTGCTTGCACTGAGGTAGAAACTTTGCAAATTCATTCAAAATACCGACAAGAGTTGTTTGGAGTTTCAAACAGTGCTCGTTTCTTTTCCGGAGTTCATAAAATCATGAGAATACATATCCTTATTAAAAAACAGTCTTGTCTTTCCAGCCATTCATGAGGGGCTTTATTCCCAGCCCCAATCTGGCACCGCAAGGTGCCCCTCTCTGAAAACCCAAGATGTTTGCTAGCAGGGCAGTGGGGGCTCAGCCCCCACCAGGTGGCAGATGCCCCGAGGAGGGCACACACCCACGCAGACAGGAGGAAAGGAAGGCTTTTGGGAAGGCCTCCCTCTCCCCAGCACAGGAGGGCCCGGGTGGGTTTCCATCCCCTGCCCGCTCACCCTGCACAGCAGCTGGTGAGCCACGCTGGCCGAGAGGGCTCGAGGCAGCCCATGCTCCCTCTCTCCATCCCTCAACCGATGCTCGGCCCAACAGCTGGATTAGGAGTGAAATGGCCAAGCGGCGGTTACGCTTCACGGGCGCGTGACTGTTCTGCAAGGGGTTGTCTGCTAGAGGCAGAGATAATGGTGGCTTTCAAGGCTAATGTGTTTGGCAAGGAGGGGAGCTGGTACTGGAGGGAAGGGAACAAGACGTCAGTAGCAATCTTTAAAAATACACATGTTTGCCAGGATTGAAATTTCAACCTTCAATTGTTTTCCTACACTGCCCTGTCTCTGCTCCTCTCCTCTGGTGCTTTAGTAGTCATTAAATGAACTTGAACATGTTTGTATCCATAAACCTTTTTTACCAAAAGCTATTAATTTCTAAAGCAATATAAATACAGGTATAATTGTGATGTCACATTGTGAGAAGCCATTTCAAATGCTTTTCAGAGACACATGTACATGTAAAGTGGTAAGTATGCCATAACTAATGGCGTCGTTAGTTTGATTTATTGTCAACCAGTTGACTTTACAAAAATCAATCCCCTAGCTCGTAAAGTATCTCCCTAAAATTGGTAAATTTTTACACTATCAATAATAAGAGAAAAGGTAAAGTTACAGGTCTACCTATTCTTTTTCTGTGTGTTACTCGTTGAAAGGTATCGTACAGATTGCTGTGATATATAGGAGTGTGTGTATGAGAGACAGATACGTTATAAAAGTCGCAAGCTATAAAAAGTTTTTTAAAAAAAATCTGAGTGATCTTTAGACAAATTCAGATGACACGTCTAACAAAGACTGTCAGTAGAATAAATGTGGTTATGTTAATATATTGAACCGTTAACACATGTCCTTATCATAATGGAACTTACACAATGGTGGTACCTGTCAGATTCCACTCGATACATACAGCATGTTTGTCTGATGCACGGAAAGACAACTATATCAATTTCATTTCAGCTCTGAATTGACACTTCAATTTTAAATCACCCACTGAAAACCTTAGCTTAAATCTGAGCTTCTCCCTCATACACTTTGCTATTTGTCATGTTTCTGTATGAGTATACCGAAAAAAACGTTACAGGCAATCTGCTGTAGTGTGTGTGTATAGTATTTGACCTCTGGACAAGAAAGGAGTTTCATCCTCCAGTGCTTTTAATTCTTATCCTTGCAGAGACTGAATTTGTTGCTTGCATTAAAATAGTGTGTCTCGTTAATGCTAAGAAGCGGTGACCCACATAGCACAATGGATTCATTTGTCAATCCTGCGACTTCTGAGCTTTCTGTTCATGTATGTCTTAGCAGCAAATCAACTCAGAAATCATTTAATCAGTCTATCAATGCATGCTTCTTGTCAGTAGTTTGAATCCTGAAAATTCCAGTATCTCATTGGGCAGCATCAAGAAGAATAGATTTGGACTAGGTATTCAAACTCTGAAAACTGCAGCTCTAAAATTCTTAGCTCACATACGCAAAAATCTTAAGAAGAAAAGTAGGATCTGGAAATTGTCTTGAATTTTGAGGATATTCATGTTCTGATCTGGTTCTAAACTTCAGAGTGCAAACCTGTCCCTGTTAGCATTTCTGAAATACTCTACACGCAGTTACAGAAAGCAGTGCTCTTTTGTTCCCCCTATAAAGAAACAAGCTTTCATTGCATTTTGCTATTCCCACGGGCTGAGGTTAGAGCCTGAATAGTTTATAACAGTCAGTGTTATGCAAATGTCAATCTTACCCTTACTCTGTTTATTTCCATTATTTACATGTTTATTTAAGTACTTGCCATTTCTTTTAAGCCTTATATAGCCAATCAGGCCAACAGAGGTCTAAAGGAACAGAACACTTTATTAGTGATATACTTAATACAGTTTTTTTCCTCTTGTAGATGCAAGATTTACGGAATACAGAAGGAGCCCAGTATAGTTCCCATCCTCAGATGGCAACCATGAGGCCAAGGGTTCAACCTGCAGATATTAGGCAGCCAGGAATGATGCAGCATGGGCAGCTGACTACTATTAACCAGTCCCAGCTCAGTGCACAGCTTGGTTTGAATATGGGTGGAAACAATGTTCCTCACAACTCGCCCTCTCCACCTGGAAGCAAATCTGCAACTCCTTCACCATCCAGTTCAGTCCATGAAGATGAAGGAGAAGATAGCTCTAAGGTAGGCTTAGATGCTAGGATTACTATTGAAATGGTGGATATTTTTTAGGATCTGCTAAATGAATTGTATGGCCACAGTTACAAAGGTGATACTTTATATATTGTTGGTGGTTGACTGAAGTGAATGAAGGGTTATGAATACAGTTTCATATATAATTACAGTTTCCAGTCAATTCTTCAGGCAGCTTGAGTAAATGACGTCATTCCAGTTCGTGAGACCAAACTGGAATCCTGTAAAACACTAAAAGGATAGCCATTCCTTTAGGACTTTAATATAAAGGTTGAGTTTTCTCACTTGCATAGAGGGGATGTTTGTTCCCAGTCAAAGATCAACTTACTGCTATAAAAAGTATGAACAGTCTGTACAATGTGCTAGTCTTTGCTACTTGATCATGGGATGAGTAAACAGAATATCATAGCAACCAGAAGAGAAAGATGCTCTACAGACTTTAAAAATCTTACCTTGAAAATCTTGAAGACTCATTACGCATTTGTATTTGGGAGGTGCTGGCACTCCAGCATGACATATTTAAGCTTCATTTTGGTGTCAGTACAAGCATGAAGAAATAATAGTAATTTGAATAATAATACATTTATTTAAAGGATAAATGTCAATTTATATAGCATGTTTTGCATGCAAAACCCTCCCAAACCTCTGCAAATCCTGAAAACTTCCCCCAAAATACAAAAGTATATTGTCTTAATTTTGCAGACACAATAGCTGAGACACAAAAATCTTGAAACTTAGCAAAAACTCATCCCATAAACCAGGAATAGAGCATATTGAAATTGAGTACCTCTTTAGCTCTACTGTATGGTCACTACAAATAGCAGTCCTGTTACAGCAGTCCTGTAGTGTAGTTGAAGATATTGTACCAAGGCCATATCTTGTGGGAAAAAGTTGCAGACTTGTGAGGAATGTGAAGAAAACATATTTTGAGTCACTGAGGAGGTATAATCCAGTCAAGAAATGTAAGTCTGATTTGTTTTCAAATTATATTGTTTTTCATGCCTCAAGCTATAAAATAATCATGTAATTGGAGACATATGTTTTACTACATTTTGAATAAATTCTGATTCAAAAGGTTTTTTTCAGGACTTTCCCCTGATTTCACAAACTTTAGGTTTTAAAAATCACTGAATAATTCATACATTTTAAATGAGCACTTCCTTACTGAGGGAGACTTTAGAATACAGCTATGTAAAAATAATTCCAAGCAGCCTTTACTTTTCGGAATAATTTTTTTGCTACTTCTGTTGCTTTGCTAATATTTTTACATATATTGGTGGGAGTGTGCAAGATGCTCTAAACTTCTGGAGAAAACATCCATTCAAATAATTAAGATATCATTTCTGCTTCTATCAAATATTTCAGTTATTTAACCCATATTTCTCATGTACTTTTTCGCTGCAACACTTTGTGCTAGTAAAATTGTAAGGTTGTGGTTTCATGAAGACAGTACTCATCTGAAGTTAATGTTTTCAATAAAGAAATACTAAGCACTGCAGATCAAGTAAAACTTGATCCTTTCTTTGTGGAAGCCAGTTTATATAGTATTCAGCTTTTTAACAAGCCATGTTATTTTGGAAGGCTCTCTTTAAAATTCTCTCATGCTTAGTCTAAGCAGAAAAAGATGAGAAAAGGCACAATAGACAACATAAAATTATGAAAAATACTTCAGTATGCTGAAGTCTATATGAGTCTTAAAATTCTTTGATAATTATAATTCTCTGCTAAAATAAATGTTTTAAAGGATATTAAACTTGGTTAATAATGATAGAGGGCTTAAATTAGTCTCCAACTAGTAGGGATCAAAATGCAAGCTTAATGGAGGCAGATTATGCCACACCTGTCTTCTGTGGGATTTCTTAGGTCTTAATGAAAATGCCTGAAGTTGTCCACCATTGGAGATGGGCAGTGGGCTGGCACGCCTGGTCCAATGCAATGGTTCTGGTGTACTCCCTCTGTAAAAGACAAGAGGGTTTGAATAATCAGCGTGAGAAGCTAGTGCATTGTAGTTTATGATTTAAACATCTCTGCTCTGTATCTTTCTGTCATGCTGCTCTTCCTGGAAGCTGCCAATGAATAGATATGGATACTTAGAATAAACCAGCTTTCCATGGAGATCCTTTTCCCCAGCCACAAGAGTATTAAATTTTCTCAGAGCTGCCTTGGAGGCTTCTTCTTACTCCAGAAATCCTCCTCTCCGTAAAAGAAGGCATTCAATGGGGACAACAAGAGATAGAGCGGTCATTCTGTCTCTTGTGAGAACCTCTTTTACCTGAATATAACTTTGCTAAATTTGGAGTTTTCTCTTTGTTTTATAGACTGTCATGTAGATGTGTGATATTACTTAATAGACCAGGGTCAGAGCTCGTTATTCAGTTCTTCACTAGAAGTGTATATGTTGCGGTCACATAGTAACTGCTGGAGCTCACCACATTTGAGCAGCTTCATGAAGTCAGTAAGATGTTCCTGCCATGAAGACTGGATAAAAAACAACAGAATTCACTGTGTTGTTAATAGAAAAAGCGATGTTCTCCCTATTTAACCAGCAGGAAATGTTTGCCTATGTACCAACATTGATCAAAAAGACAAAGTACATTTTCAAATGGAAAATCACCTCAGTCAGATGACCTCTCTTAGTTTATACCAGCTGAATGCCCAGCCTCATGTATGAAAGAGAAGCTACTGGTCCTTTGATAGCAGATTTGGTAGAAAAATCCCTAAAAAATATATCTATTTCTAGCTAGAGAAAAAAATACAGCAATCTCAGTGTCTTGTTCATGTTTGCATGAATTTATAGAAAGAAGATGACAGAAGGTATGAAGGAATATGTACATTATATACATTTGGACTAGGAATATTATTCCCACTGATTTCCATGCAAGGAGGAAATGACCATTTCAGCTTAACATACGTATTCCAAATGCTAGTAATAAGGAAACTTTACAAACTGATATAATTGTTCATGTAATGAGCTTCTTGGATATTCATTCTGTGGTAAATATTCGAATTGTTGTAAGCCTTATCCAATGCACACAAAACTAATGGCAGCAGCTGCTAAATATTTTTTAGCAATACTCATTCTCATAAAGGCTCTTTCATATAGATCTTTTGGACTTTAAACGTTATTTATTCCCTTGCAGAAAAAAGGGAAAGGAGCTGCATTATAGGAGGCTCAGTTTTGCTGACACTTTTGCTCTAAAAGCAAGACAGCTAAAGTTGCTTGACCGTAAGATCAGTGACAACAGTAGCATAATTATACAACTATGTATATACAGTCAGAAAGCTACTAGGTCCAAGGAAATAATGTAGTCTTAGACCAAGGATATTGTTTCTGCAAGTGGTGTACATCCCTAGGTCTCCTTAATTCTTCTAAATCCAATATGTGAGACTATGGTTAGAGAAAAAAAAAAAAAGGAGAACTTAAAAATCAAGAGTCGTAAGTAACTATAAAAACATTCTAAACAAAGTGGCCACTTACCACGTACTTTGTTCTGACCACCTCGACTCTGGCATGTTACATTTACATAATTCTTGCCGTAATTCATACTATTGGATCTTCAAACATGTATTCAGTTATTGCCAAGCATAATTGTGGAAGCTTTACTGGTTTGCAAACATGCATTTCTTCATAGATGGATAGCAGGGCTTTTGTCCATCTCATTTGAGTATCACTTATGAGAGAATTTCAAATAATGTATTTTAGAGGGAAGATAGTGAGAGGACTGCAAGTAGCAAGAATTAACTAACAGAAACACGATTACTAAAGAACTGCTGCAGCATATTTTCTTTATGTGGCAGAGGTTTTACAATATTTACTTTATATGATAAGAGTTATAAGTAGAATTCTATGTTGTCTGTTCAGCCTATTATGCAGATGGTGCTTGATTAAAACCTATTTTAAACTACAGCGATTACTGCAAGATAGTGTGCATAAAACAGCTCTCCTAGCTCCATTAAAGACTTTGGTGCTATTGCAGTTTATTTTAAATATGCTTATAGACATTTCCCAGCTTCTCAAGGGACATTTAGATATCAACGATGTGCCTTACTTGATAGTTTTAAATCCTACACTAGATATTCTTGTGATCTATTATGTGTGCAACATAGTTAATGTACACTTTTTTAAAGTGAAAGATTATTGCTTTCTTGTGATAAATAAGTTAAATACATCACCATAATTAAGCAATAAGCCATGACAGGAGGTGGATTACCATGAGCTAACTACACCTCCAGGGATTTTAAGGCATAAGTCTATGCCTAGCAGAATATATATGGTTTTTATTTTATTTCCCATCTGTCTCTGCTTTGGTGGTTAGAAGTGGAGTCTATGAAGCTGATAGACTGATGGGAGCATAAGGTAGGCCATCATCTCAGTCATTTGCAAGGTTATTAGTACTGGAATTCTGGTATTCTTTTTATTTCGTTATTTTCATATAAGACAAACAGAATTTCCCCTGTGAGTACTCTCTTTTTAACAGTGAGTTTTTGAAGTGTCTTGATCATTCAGGTTGGAGACTAAGATTTTAGAACTGTTCTCAGAACAGTTTACCAGATGACATCGTACGCAAGTTTCTGCAACATATCACCTAGTTTAAGGGTAGTTTAAGTAATGTAGTGTCCTAGTGTATGGAGAACTTTTAAATTTTATTGATCCAAAAATACTCTGAAAAGAGGACAATTTTTAGCAAATTACAGAGGTAATATTTTAACTATAGCCCAAATTATTGTCAAGCCTCCTTGCTTATGGAGTTTGCATAGAACTGTCTGAAGAGTTTAGATTAATGTTGTCAAATTCACTGTGGAGCCCTAGTTAACTAATTACCATTTAGCTGTTAGTTTTGTGTACCCTGTAGAATGAAATAATAGCAAGAGACTAAAAGTTGGATAACTTAATGATGTGTAGTACACTGTTTCTCTTTTTCCATGTTTTCCAAAATACTGCAAATAGGCACCATGTCCATTAACCTTATATTAAAGATGTATCTATTGTAACATAATTCTCAGGAAACAGGCAAAGTTGTGTCTAGTAGATCCTTAGCCTGAAGCATGCCTTCTATGCTCTTGATCTTCTCACACTGCAAAACAATTATGATGTGCCATACTCTTCTTGTCCATGCCAAAAAGAGAAAAAAAGCCTTTGAACCCTCTGGTAAGATCATACGTCATTGCTACAGTTATAGTGAATTAAGTGATCCTACCCAGAGAAGCTGCTTTGCCATGGAGCTCCAATCTGTTGAAGAATTAGGACGGTGTCCCTTTATGTGCTTGTAAAGCACCAAGGAAAGTAGGGTACTTTGGTGATCAGGGTCTCTGAGCTACTCAGTGGCAAAGCATAGTTGCAGTTAACAAATTTGCACAAATGTTCATGTGTAGTTTTTTTCAGGTGGTACACAAATAATGCACATGCACTTTTCTTCATACACTGTTTCACTTCTTTCCTCAATCCATTTGCTTTTACATGAGCAGAGGAAAAAACTATGCAGCTAAATCAAGATGGATCAGGACTTGAGGTTCAACAAGGCTGTGTCAACTCCTGCACTTGGGTCACAACAATCCCATGCAACACTACAGGCTTGGGGAAGAGTGGCTGGAAAGCTGCCCACTGGAAAAGGACCTGGGGATATTAGTCGATAGCCAGCTGAATATGAGCCAGCAGTGTGCCCAGGTGGCCAAGAAGGTCAATAGCATCCTGACTTGTATCAGAAATAGTGTGTCCAGCAGAACTAGGGAAGTGATTGTCCCCCTGTACTCAGCACTGGTGAGGCCACAGCTCGAATGCTCTGTTCAGTATTGGGCCCCTCACTACAAGAAAGACATTGAGGTGCTGGAGCATGTCCAAAGAAGGGCAGCGAAGCTGGTGAAGGGTCTAGAGCACAAGTTTTATGAGGAGTGGCTGAGGGAACTGGGGTTGTTTAGCCTGGAGAAAAGGAGGCTGAGGGGAGAACTTATCACTCTCTACAATCACCTCTACAGGAGGCTGTAGCAATGTGAGAGTCAGTCTCTTTTACCAAGTAACAAGTGATAGGACAAGAGCAAATGGCCCCAAGTTGTGCCAGAGAAGGTTTAGATTGGATATTTGGAAAAATTTCTTCACTGAAAGGGTTGTCAAGCATTGGAACAGGCTGCCCAGGGAAGTGGTTGAGTCACCATCCCTGGAGGTATTGAAAAGATGTGTAGATGTGGTGCTTAGAGACATGGTTCAGTGGTGGACTTGGCAGTGCTAGTTTAGCAGTTGGACTTGATGATCTTGAAGGTCTCTTCCAACCTAAACGACTCCATGATTCTATAATCCTCCAAAGGGGTCTGAAGTGTATGTACTAATAAAGCTCTGTTTCTTCAGATTTTAATCAGAAGGTGAGCAGGGGAATGTCCATAACTTGGATCAGTTTATTCAGAATCAGATTTTCCTCAAATTACCCAGAAGGTGGCCCACAAGTTTCAGTAGAAATTGATTTGAACACTAGTCTGGGGTAGTTTTGGGACAGGGTAGGGATAAGGAAAAAGTAGAAATGACAGTGTTCCTGCTGTCTGCAGGTGGTTCATGTGGTTGAACTGATGGTCAAGCTATAATGAAACTCATTTCATTTGAATTTACTCATACATGCATGTTATAACCATTAGCAATAAAACTTAGAAGAGGTGAAAAGATGAAAAGGTGAACTATAAATGAGATTTTAACAATTATAGCAAAGCAAAATATAAAGCACTTTGAAGGAAAAAGTCACATAATCTGAATATTTATGAATTTTATACATGCGACTAAGTCAGATGGTATCGATATTTTGGTTACCAAAGATGGCAAATAAAATTCCGATTTTGCATACAAAATCCAAAATCTCTGTGTATCACAGAGATATCTGTAACAATGGTTAAACTGAATTAAATTGGCTTTTTGTTATTGTACTTTTCTAATTTTATGTTACAGGTCAATGGTGGAGAGAAGAGACCTGCTTCAGATATGGGAAAGAAACCCAAAACTCCCAAAAAGAAGAAGAAGAAGGACCCAAATGAGCCACAGAAGCCTGTGTCTGCCTATGCATTATTCTTTCGAGACACTCAAGCAGCCATCAAGGGCCAAAACCCCAATGCTACTTTTGGCGAAGTCTCTAAAATTGTAGCTTCAATGTGGGACGGCTTAGGAGAAGAACAAAAACAGGTACAAAATGTGCTGTGGCTCAGAGGCTTTGTTTCAGGAAAGTGTTATCAAGGTCATCTAAGCACTGCAGGCAGCTTCTTTTGTTTGCCGAGATGAAACTTGAATATATGCCATCTCAAGAATATGATTTAAAGAGACTAAGATAAGGAGAGTATCGCTTCATTTCTTCTGTATGAAGCCACTAAAAGAGTTTTTTTAACTTTCGGGTGTGACACAAGCTTTAGGATTGTATTTAGGATTGTTTTATGCTGAAATTGGTGGGCCTAAGATTTTATGATGGCATTGCCCTGTCTATGACAGTGTGGCATAGGAGGACCTTCCTGCCAAAAACTTTATCTGTGCAGTGGAACCTGACATATATCTAAGCTCCCAGTTGCAAATGTTTCCTTGCCGCATGATGCCAGAAGGGGAGCTGGACTCCCATCTTCTGCCAACCCACCTGGCTTTTATGAAGGGAGTTGCTGATGTGTTAACCCAAAGAAACCTAGGGTGGACCCTGGCAAATCAACAGAGTTCTAGGGTACCCTCCAGCATACATGTGGGCTGTGGAAATCACATCCTGTAGTTACTTCCGTCTTCCATGGAAAGGCCTTGGCTCTGCAACGAGGTCAGCAGAGCTGGATGTGAGCTTTTGCAGAAATCCTTCCGAGTCAGTCAGATGCTATGCAAAAGTGGGCAACTCTGGAAGCTCATCACATTCTTATGGTGATGGTTGGCAAATACTGTTCATCCTCGCTGTAGCATACCATTGCTTTTCTGTTGTTATTGGTTACATTTTTACTAACCGCCAACAGAATGGATTGGGTAGTTAAAGAAATGGGACCTTTAAGAAACAGATATGGAGGGAAAGGATATGCTGAGTGAGAGTTATATGGGTTGCAGGAGACCTAGGTGGAGGTTGATGTCAGCACAAAGAGAGGAAGAGTACTGGGACAAAATTGCATCTCATTCATTCACACCAAGCATATTGTTATTGCACAATTACATTTAATGAGGCTAAGAATTAAAAGGAAAATGTTGCTGTGATTTTTTGATAGGTAAAACCATTTGAACTTGAAAAAAAAGGTTTTCTTTGCTAATAACTGGATGGTATAGATACATCTAGACCCCTGTAAAAGATAACAATGTAATAAGAATCAAGATTTGGCACTCATTGACTAACTAAAAAAAAAAAAAAAAGGCTCATTCTGTCTAGTATCCATCGTTGAATAAGGTCAGCGTTTTGAAGGTTTAGCTGGAGGAAAGGTAACTTTCTGAACACAGAGGTCAGAGAATAAACTTGGCCTGGCACATTAGGGCTATTTTGTTATGTTGTCTCTTCTTTCTGCCTTTTTTAATATGTCCAGCAAAGGCCAAGGTTATGTCCTTGATCTGACAGGTTGTTGAGACCTTCCCAGTACAGCAGTTCTCTCATAGTCGAACACTACTTTTTGGGACCGTGATGATGAGTGTCCACTTTTGACTCAGAAAAATACTGACTGAGTTTTTAGTTAAGTTCACAAGCAAGAGGGTTCGATGCCATTCCTCGTTGTCCTGTGTACCTGCTCAGAATCACTGCCCATGTTGAAACACTCAAACGCATACCTCAGGAGTGTTCCGAGTGGTTAGATCTGTATCTTGTACCCATCTTGCATGCATGTGCTGTTGTGGATCAAAATTTTCCTGAAATGGTGAAAGGCAGACACATGGACTTCTCCAGAGTTTGTTAATCTAGTTAATCTTATGACTCTCTAGTGATGACACCAAGCAAAATCTTTTGCTCGGTTTTCTCCACCATTTTTCGTATGGCTCTTAATTAGTGGCTGTTGCAGTGGTGCAGTTTTTCCTTGCATAATATTTGCTCTGCTTACAAAGCAGAAGATTTAACTTTGTGTATAATAGTCCAAGATTACATAATGGAGGTAAACCTGCACATTTCCTTTGAACTTGTCATTTTAGTAGAACCAGCAGAAAATTGAAGTCTTTCCATAGAATTCTGTTTAAGAAAAGTGCATAAAACCTACAAATTCCAGCTTTGGAATTCCTATTTGTGGTTGAAAACAATAATTGAGTAAGTCCTACACTGGAACAGCAGAACAAAATTTATTTTCCATATCTCTCTTGTCCTTAATTTAAGTTGGAACACAGCAGAATGATGTGTTATGGAATCCACACAACACATCCATGAAAAAAATGACTGCAACTAGATTTTTAAGCCAGTTATTCCAAGCGTTTGGCTTAGCATATCTTTGTTGCTTTTTGACTCATTTTGCCTGTTCATTATTGTCTATTAAGCACATTGCCAAAACTCCAGGCCCAGGCCCTTTCTAATCTAGCACTGTACAAAAAGAATAAAAGATAGTCTGTATTTAAAAAAATTGGCAATCCTATTTTCTAGAATAAATTTAAACTCATTCTTTATTCCATTAGGGATCTAATAGTACAAAGTAATGATTACAAGACATCTTAACTGACTAGATAGTGTGTATTTTAAAGGCCTAATTTTTTCAGATCCAGAGCATTAGTAACTCTTATGAAACCTATGGCTCTAGTAGGAAAATTGGACTCTAAAAATACAAATGATTAATGTAGCATTTGGAATTTGTCATTGAAGAAGCTTCAGAAATTCAAAAATAGTTAAATAAAGAAACAATAACATCATTAGATGAATACTTTATTGATGAATTATACTTGCTGAAAAGGATTCAATTATCATAAAGCTTCTGGCTTTTATGTTTTGGAAGCTAATGCTTATTCTGGAATTTAAATAGAATTATGTTTCCAAATTATGTTTCCTGAATTGGAACTCCTTTTACTATTTAAATAGTAAATATAAATGAATCAGAAAGTAGAACATAATGCAGCTATTGAGAAAGAAGAATAGCCCATGTTTTCATGCCAAAATGAAATCTTCTTTGTTCCTACAACCTGAGCCAGCTTCTTCTGAAATGCATAGAATTCTTCTTGTTTATTCTCGAAGATTGACCACAGAATAAATAAAGGTATTGAAACTCAGTACAGTAACAACCTAAGGGCAGTATATGTATGTCCAAGGCTTTGCAAAAAATTTTGATAACCTGACATATTAGACTGTAGCTTGAAAGGTTTTGTGCAAGAGCCACATATGTTTTTCAAACTGTGAAGAAACTAGGAAAATGTTGTTTGAGAAAATAGGATTTCAATGACAAAAAAGGAAATGTTATTATGAACTAGATGATGGTGGATGCCTTATTGAAGTTAGGGGGGAGTTATATTTAAAATGTATCACACTCTGACGCTCTTACTATGAGAATAATGCAATTTATTAGATTAAAGCAGATACTAGTGTACTTCCACTCTCTTATTACTGTATGAAGACATATGCATTTTTGTGTCATATACTATAACTGTTCCCATTAATTTCTGAGTGTACAGGGCCATTTGCAAACAACGCTGGTGTGTGTCTGTGTTTTATTTGTCCAAACCTATCTGCATAGGGGAGTCTAGGAGTTAAAGAGACTTTAGTGGTCATGGTGAACTTTGTCATGCTTTCTTCTGAAATTCTGAATCAGATAGAATAATTACACATGATCAGAAGAAGGGACTATGCGTTGTCCTTCATTTTTCACTGTGAATGTTTTCTAAAACTGTTCAGGTTAATAAATCTCTGAATGGAAAGCAGCTGTAGCAGTAGTATGCTGGGGTACATTCTTCTCAGTGCTGTGGCGATAGCACAGGGATACTTTCAGTGGCTTTTCTAGTCCCTCTCTTACAATCAAAACCACTGTTTTCTCCTTAGTCAGTACTATACTTCTGTGCATCCCGCTTTTATAGCTTATTTATGTGCATCTTTGCCCTTTGCACTCATTTTTACTGCAAAGGGGAGAAAAACAGCCCCCAGGGAAGAGGGTTCAGCATGCTAAATGGTCGTGTCTCTGGCTTTTAGACAGAATGCTGGTTCAAACTGGGTAAAAAGGCTACTTAGGTCATTTTCTGTCCTTAGATGAAAAAGGAAAGTCATTTTAAATCAGTACCAGATGTGTGTGTACTAAATGAACCTTAAGTTTCTAATTGGAGTCCTAGTAAAGCTGTAATAGATGTGGCAAATTACAAACAAAATGTTCTTGTTTACATTAGTGTAACTTTAAAACTTCAGCCAAAGACCTTAATAAATGTGCTGTTATTCTAAAAATGGAATTGAATGTCTATTCAACATTCAACAAAATTA